CCCCTGGTGGCTGCTTTTGCTGCTTCACAAGGTGGTTTTTCACCTCCATCCTCCCTCCACTCCTGTCCCTTGGTTTTTGCTACTGCCTGGAAGGAGGGGTACACCTGTCTGTCCAGTAGAGGCAGCTCTGATCCCCTGAACACAGCTCTCCCTGCCATTGCCTCTATGGGGAAGCATAGCTGTGGCTGAGCAAAGTCGGGGTGAGTCCCTCAGCCCAGGGGTGCTCTGACAAAGAGCTGAGAACCCCCCCCCCCACACACACACACATCGGTACCTGTCACCCAGGCCCACTGAATCCAAGAAACTATGGACCTCAGGGGATTTCTGTCTGGTCTCCAAGAGCAAGTGCTCCTGCCTGTGGTTGAACTGGGCACTGTCCTTTCCTTTGAGCCCGAGGAACCTGACCAGCCAGATGGCACAGATTCGGGCATTTTTATGGGCATTTTGCCTTTCCTGTGAGTCTGAGGTTTCCTGCAATTGCTGTATAACAGATTACCCCAAACTTTGTGGCTTAACAGCAAAACAGTTTGCTCACAAGTCTGCCAGCCCAGAACTTAAACACAACACAGCGGGTGCCTGCTCTCTGGCTGGGTGGCACAGTCACGATGATGTCGCCAGTTGTCTCAGCCGGTTTGGCTCTTTAGTCTGGCAGTGGCTGGGTCAACTCCAACAGGGGCACAACTCTGAGTTCCTCAGTTCTCCCCCACGCAGTCTTAGGGCCCCTTCCCCCACGTGACCTCCACGTGGCCCTTCCATGTGGCCTCTCCACGTGGCCTGACTTGCTACATGGTAGCTCAGGGCTCCCTGAAGTGCAAACGCAGAATCCATGGCGTGTTCCTCCAGCACTGCCCAGAGCTGGTACAACGTTCCCTCCGTCACGCTCTATTCTTGTAAGCAGCCCGGATCCAAGGACCAGAACCTTGGCTCCTAGGAGGTGTGGGCTCTCATGCGCCACCTCTGTAACCTGCTCCACATGTGCTGTCCTTCCAGGTGGCACCGATTCTTTCAGGGATGGAGATTGGTCCTGCCCTCATCACCCTTCAGAGCGGCTGGCTCCTGGGAGTTGCTTAACCTGCTTCTGTCTTATTGAGAATGGACAGTTGGAACCACAGGTACCATGTGGCCCTCGGAGCGAGTCTGCCATACTGCTAGCCCCTTTGTCATCAAGAGGTTTCTTTTGCACTGGTTTGAGCCACGTTCCCATTTTACAGATGAGAACACTGAGTCTCATCTGAGTTTTTCGCTTATACACTGGCTAACGGCCATATAATAAATTAGCAGATTAGGTTTGAGAGCCCAGACTCTCATTTGTATTGAAAACTAGGGAAATAGATGTACTTTTCAGAAATTCTCTCCCTGGCCAACTTGTCTGGACTGCGTCTAATCTGCGAAGCAAGAGATGTCACGTTTCCTTCCACGGCCACCTTCACCCAGCCATGCCTGCCTTGCTCGAACATGCCTGCCTATTTCTCACACCCTTTGCTCGAACCCAAGAATGAGGTAAAGGGTGGTGGCAGCCATTTGCAAATACAACTTACTCAAGGTGTGATAAAACCAGTTCCTTGAAGGACAAGAGAACCCCTCAACTCCTCTCCCAACACAATATTTAGGAATGAATACTTTTTTAGTGTAAGTATGTCCCGAATATTGCATGGGACATACTTATACCAAAATAAAAGTATTCATTGTTTATCTGGAACTCACATTAACTGGGCATTGGGTATTGTATCTGGCAACCCTACTTGGAGAGTTAAAGTATAAAACTAACACATGGATCAGAACTAAGAAATGTAAAGTCACTTTAAGAAGTCAGAATGGGTCTTTCAGCAACACTTGCCTGGAATTAGAGAAGGTAAGAAAAGCATATTTACAAAAACACTTCGAACCTTCTCTTGTAACATATCTTAAGAATGTGCCAGTCGGAAAGAGGGTTTGTCGACAATAGAAAATGGAGGGTCAGAGACAAACCTTGGCTATTTTCTTTCTTTCTTTTTTTTTTTCTGGGGGCTGTGTTTATGGGGAAGACCTGACAGAGGGCATGGTTCTTACAAAACTGGGAACAATATAAATTTAAAAATAATAATGTGTGTGTGTGTGTGTGTGTGTGTGTGCACTGAGTGGCCAGATTATTATGACCACC